TTGCTGCCTGCAGGGTGCTGGGCCTTGCAGAGACATGCACACACACACAGCGAAAGACTGCTGGTATAGTCAGTAGGACCAAGGTGATGTTTGTCCCTCTGTTCTCAGCTCTGGTGAGGCCCCACTTCTGTGTTTAGATTTGAGCTTCTCACTATGGGAGGAACGTTGAGGCCCTGGAGCGTATCCAAAGAAGGGCAACAAAGCTGTGAATGGTCTGCAGCAAAAGTCTTATGAACAGCAACTGAGGGAACTGAGATTGTTCAGTCTGGAGAACAGGAGACCTTATCTCTACAATTCCCTGAAAGGATGCTGTGGTAATGCCAGGACTGGGCTCTTCTCCCAGCTAACAGTGATAGGACAAGAGGTGATGGCCTCAAGTTGCATCAGCGGAGGTGTAGGTTGGTAAGGCACTGGAAATGGCTGTCCAGGGAAGTGGTGAAGTCCCTGGAGATATTAAAAAAATGGGTAGATTTGGCACCGAGGGACACAGTTTAGTGGGCATGGTGGTGATGGGTTGATGTTTGGACTAGATAATCCTAGCAGTCTTTTCTAGCCTTAATTCTACGATTCTATGAAATCCAGGCTGTTAGCAGTCTTAAACTCTTCCAAGAGCCATTGGTTATGGCTGTAGGGTGTGCACAGATCTGCCCTAGTTCTCCCTCAGTGCAATCGCCCAGCAAAAAGCTCTTCCCTGCCCCCAGCGCTCTTCACGCTCTGACCTTGACCCGAATATCATAATCCACTTCAGCCACAAGGAATAGCAGTGCACGGCGGGTCACCCAAGGACTGTTTTCAGCTCTGACGTGGGTCACAGCTCACCACAGTGGTGGTGACTGCATTAGGTGTTGCGTGGGAAGGAAGAGCGTCCTATAACCGCTTTCCCAACGTTTAGTCTCTTCTAGGGTTGCTCCATGATGTTTGTGTCCAGTGTCTGAGGCACACAGGCTGTGAGGGCTGCTTCTTTAATTACCGTCAAATAACAGCTCTGCTGTGGCCCCCACTTGCTGCTGGGTAAGCAAAAGATCCCCATTCTGGATTGCAGGGAACAGACATTGGCCTGTTTGGCAGTTGCAGTCAAAAGCCTTTTTTTTTTCTTTCTCTTTTCCCAACACTGGTCAGCAGCTGTGTTGTTTATAGGATGAATGGAGCCCTTAATGAAGCAATAGATAGAAACAGTGAGAGGCTGTGTCTGTCTGTTGCAAAGGGCTGAGGGGGATGGGCTGATCTCCTGAAATACCCTGACATCCTTTTTTTTTGGTTATTTAAACATCAGACACAGCAGTTATCAGCTATCAACATAAAGACTATATTTGGCTCAGTGGAAACACTAAATCCACACATCAAAACAGCTGCTGATATGTACGGACCCAGAGAGACTTACAGGTTCCAGCGAATGTGGGATAGCACAACACAGTACAAAACAGTGCAAAACAAAAGCAGACGGCATGTGGGAAGAGGGCAGACCGAGTTACTGGTGAGATTGCTGAATGTGAAAACAACAGTGTGTTACTGGCACAGCACGGATTGCAACAGACACGAAAACAGACAGGAAGAGGATTCCAGCAATGGAGAGAAAAATAAGCAGCTTTTCTATAAACTGTTTCTTTTCCTCCAGCTCAGTCCATCGCTTGCAACACGTGACGTTAATCATAAACCCCCCAAATGCATCTAGGTTAAAGTTTCCAGCTGTTTGGTCTCTAGAGGCTTTTAAGTAGAAAAGCAGAATCCTTCAGCACAAAAGTCCTGTGTCGCTGATGCAGTATTGGCACATCCACTCCCACTCCTCCTCTGCAAGGACAGGAGGGGGATGGCTCCACTGAAGTTTAACAGATCTTTGCATAGTAGATGCTGAGGTCCATGCAGAGGTGGAAAGAACTCTGATTTCAGCAATTACTCTCTGATTCTACAAGAGGTTCTGAAGAGCAGTTAGGAAGCCTGTTGGTCCTTAGGAGCGCATTCTCTTCTGCTCTCAGTAACCTCAGGAACACTATGAAAGCTGAATTGTTTATTTTCCGGAAAACTCCTGCTATCTTATCAGAATTTCCTCTCTGCCATAAGGCACTCCTTGCTCCTTAGAGGCCACTTCTTGAGTACTGAGTTTTGGGCACCTCGCTACAAGAAAGACATTGAGACACTTGCAAGCTGTAGGAGTTGTTTTTTTTTATTTTTTAATAAATTTTCATTAATCTGCAAGCCACTTGCAACTCAGCAGGTTAAGCACAAGTAAAGGATGCCCAGTACTCCAGGCAAAAAGAAGCCTTAACTCCTTTTAAAAGGTAAAGCACCACTTCTCTGCAAAGCTCTCCAGCATTTCTGTACAGGTACACGCTGTTCCTTGCCAGATGAATACTTTTTGTTGCAGAGCTGACATTTATAGTGGTCCTAGCAACTCCCAGCTGCTGAGCAGTGCTCGCAGATCCCTTTGTCCTACAAGAAGGATTGGATGCATTCCTCCCTGTTTTAAAAAAACGAAAGTACTTAGGCTTTGACAGACACACCATGGTGTCCTTGTGGAAGGAATGATTAGTCATTCCCAGAAAAGCTCACAGTAGAGCATAACTTTGCCCTTCTTTTGTAAGCTGTGTTGGCACATGTTTTTCCCATTTTCACTGGCAGTGGCATAGGCTGTGGTTGACCAAACCAACCTCTATACTGGTAACACTCCAGAAACAACTGCTGAATAATCACATTCAGTGGGACATGGGCTCAGGCACGACAAATATTTGCTTTTGTCTGTTTGTATCACAGTATTGTCTAAGATACAGGAAGAAAGACCATCAAAATTGTTATAGCAAAGCCACAAAATCCCCCTATCCCTGAAACTCCCAATATGTTACAATGGTCACTAGGTAAGAGGGTGGTGAGGTGCTAGAACAGGTTGCCCAGAGAGGCGGTATGTGCCCTGTGTTCCTGGGGACACTCAAGCTCAGGCTGGATGGGGCTCTGTGCAACCTGCTCTAGCTGTAGGTGTCCCTGATCACTGCAAGGGAGTTGGACTAGATGACCTTTAAGGGTCCCTTCCAACTCAAACTATTCTGATTCCAAGAGCACCAGGGTACATAAAACCAGTCTGCCAGCACCCAAATTGGCATGAGAAAGGAAACATACTTCTGCTTTAAGGACAGAAATAAAACAGTGCTTTAATTATTTCCTGCATCTTCAGATTCCTCATTCTTTTATGTTTGGGTTTTCTTTCAAAATTATTTGGAAGAAGGGATCCCTACTGTTTTGAAGTGAGATTCAAAAAAGAACAACACTTAGGAAACACAGAGAGGTTGCTGCAAGGCAGTCAAGAGGCAAAAATACCTCCAAAGGCAGGTAGGGGACATGTCACACACCCAGAATTCTGCAAGTTAGGCTGAGGAGAGAAAGGATGCAATAAGGAAGACACCAATTCCCGTGAGAAAGACAGGACTGTATAGAAACACAAAATCATTAAGGTTGGAAAAGACCACTAAGGTCTCCTAGTCCAACCATCAACTCATCCCCACCATGCCCATTATGCCCATTAACCCTTGTCCCTCAGTGCCACATCTCCACATTCCTTGAACACCTGCAGGAACTGTGACTCCACCACTTCTCTGGACAGCCTGTTCCAATGCATCACCACTCTTTCTGAGAAGAAATTATCCTTTAGTATTTTGAACAGCCAGTAAGACTTCATACCAGAATGTTTTGTGTTTTCTAAGTATAAATAGTACACTGGACTGAAAAAAAAAACAAAAAAAAAAAAGAAAAGAAAAAGCTCAGAGCATTAAAGTAGGGAAGGGCAGGAATAGGAGCATGAGGAAAAAAGATTTCATTTCTACAAAGGAGTGACAAGGAAAAAGCTCCCATTGAGAAAGATCGTTGTACTGCTGGTAAAAGATGAGGACACCCGACATTGCAAAGTTACAAATTTATTTGTTTTGAAATAAATACAAATACTTCATTAAGAAACTTTTCTTGATAGACTTTACACAATAGCTTTATTCTTTCTTGAAATTGTCTGTTCTTCCCACAAACCATTACAGATATCCTACATGAGAGCTGAGTTAGTCAATATAAAGTAACCTAGATGGCATTCCTCTGAACAAGCAATCCCAAAGTATTAACATCTGCCATTTAACTGCTCGGTCTTTGAGTTTTCTTGTTTATGCAAGGGCTGCAATGCAGCAGGTATGCACTGGGACTCAGGAAATCCCATCCTGTTGAAGGACAAACTTAAGGACTTCCAACTGTGAAAATCTGACTGGCAGAAAGATATCAAACCACCAACATCAAAAGAAGTAACGCAAGGTATCGGCAGCTACTTAAAGATGCAGAACCAGCAGATCATTACATTTACATAGTCATTAAACACTGTATTTTGCAGTTACAGTACTATTGCTCCATCACTTTCTCAAATACGCTTCCCAGCACCAGTGAGATCTCAGTTTCAAATCTAGTAATTAGCCACAGCTGAATGTACAGCATTTAATTACATGCCATTCCACACTTATTCATCTCTTCTGACAAATAACAGCTGGATCTGGCTGTGCTTACAGAATTCTGAATGTCTTTCAATTGTGCTGCAGAGATAGGAAGCTGTCTGAAGTAGAAATCAAGCTGCTTTTGCTTTCCTGGCATGTATGGCTACCCTACTTGCTCAGACTACACCATTTTTTGCAGCATTGTAAACCCTTTGGCCCAAGATCCCAAAGAGGAGATGCTTCCTTGCTTATAAAATTTTATCCTGTCCTCACTTGGCTAAGCAGATTTTAGGGTCTAGAAAGGGGGAAAGAAAGGAAGACTGGAACTAGATCTCAAAAAAGTGAAATAAAAAAAGCTTAAAGATTTAGTTCATTTTAAAGTCACATTAAATTTGTCTATTTTAGTAGTATATTATTATATGTAGGAAAACTAATGAATTAGAAGGCCTATAAATGCACGATACATTAACTTCTCTATCATTTGAAGTCAAGCTATATACAATGCATTCAACTCCAGCTTCAACATGAGGCCATAACACATTTGTTTCCTTTTTTTTTTTTTTTTTAAACAAGCCATCCATAATAGTGATTTTCTCCCCCTCTTTGAAGCTCATCTCAAATTGTGCCAGTTTACTTCAAGAGAATTAGAGATAAAGGGGCACGTAATTGATTTTGAAGAATAATATTAAGCAAGTCTGGTTTGACTCTGAAGTGTTTACAACCATATCAGCTTTTGGCAAGTTTCCTTTTGAATTTGGCATCCACTGAAGGAGGGCACAATAGCAGCAACTGTCTGAGTTACAAGAGTAACGATAGAGCAAATGAGATGCTTCTTTTCTTTGGTCCCTGTCAGACCCTGGAGAACAGAGCTCATCCTACAGAATAGCTTGAGATTAATACCAGTTATGTTTTTGTGATACACAAGGGGCATCCTTTATTTTTTCAAACTGTGACCAGTTTAAACCTCCCTCACACGCTTAGCAGGACACTTCCATGGACTTGGGGCCTGATTGCTCAGCATTGCTGGCTGAATTCGGCGTCAGCTCGATGCGTGTGTCTGTGTGGGAGCGGTTCCTGGAACCCTCCCCAGTGTGGGATCGGCTCCTAGTTCCCTCCCCAGTGTGGGACCGGCTCCTTGTGCCTTCCCCAGTGTGGGACCGGCTCCTCTGTCCTTCCAAGGAGGTTACGCTGGAGCCAGAAGCAGTGCGGGACCTCATCAGCCTGGTCATGCTAGCAGAAGGCACTGGAAGAATCACAGAATCACAGAATTATGAATTTTGGAAAAGAGCACTAAGATCGTCTAGTCCAACTGTCTAACAGACTTTCATTAATGTCTTACTGTCTAGACTTGGAAGAAAGCCTTGCCTTACTCCCAGCCCTAACTACCCATCCACGTTGGATACAATATTCATTGTAGCTTCACACATAGAAGTGGAAGCACTGTTTTTACCACGTATAAAACCCCAAGTTCCTGTTCCTTGCAGAAGCTGTTGGGTTTGCTGGACAGTGCAAGTTTGGCAATGAAAGGACGGCTACTTCAGACTCAACTTGATGGAGTCACCATTATGCCATCTTAATTTTCAGGGCTTGGAGAGCAAAATGGAAGATGAAAGGAAGGGACCAAATGTTTCCCCTGTAGCCAATATGTGCTGGGATCCACATATCAGGCTCAAGCCTGACCAAAAGCCTCAGAGATATTCTGCAGCTTTATGAAATGCTGCCTCCTACACTCTTTGGAATGAAGCCATTTAGTTTAAGGGTATCTTTATGCATTCTCTGAAACACAGAAGCATCCCTTCCTCAACCTACTGGTCATTAAAGAACTGACAGAATAATATGAATAATGATTATGTGAAAACATGGATTAGATGAGATGCCTGGGAATAACATATAATTAGTCAGATAAATAAAGGGCAAAAGAACTTCAACTTTATTTTGGAGAATTACATTGCAATAGAAAACTATCTACAAAGCTTTCTACTATCTAGTAAGATGTAGAGAGATTTTGAGTCCAAAACAAGACATTGCTGGTAGTCTTTTTTTCCTCTTGCAAATGCATGTCCAACAGGGAAAAGACCAAATATCAGTGATCAAAAGGCTCTCTGAATGCTTAAATGCCCAACAAATTTGATAGCTACAAGAACCATTCCATAATACCAATACTTACTGTATCCCATTCCCTGAACAAAGTATTTGAAAGCTTCTGCAAGCTTTGCAGGCTGTAAGAGAAACAGAATATTATTGTACACAGTGATCAGCAATTTAGTTATATTACAGTATGGTAGATGCTACAGATGTCTGACCTTAATAGGGACATATTAAATATTTTCTAGGTTCTTCTGAATTCCCAGAGTTTTCATTTACATGAGGAAACACCACTATTGCCCCCCTCATCTGCTTCTCTACCCCATCGTATTAACAAAAAGGACACAAGCATTTGAGAATGAGATTTTTGGAGAAGTGACTATAAATGGGCTATGCCCAGTCCAAACTTTACTAGTGCAGTTATTTAGGCAAATGAATCAAAGTAAAACAACTGGCCTCATATGAGCCACTTCATACTGGGTCCAAATCAACAGAGAACAAATCCAAGCAGTCAGAGCCTGAGACAGATTTTGCCCTGTAAAGGTAACTAAGTGGGAATATCCAAGCACAGCTGTATGACTGATGTTCTTGCAGTATTTTTCTTTGCTGATAACGCATCAGCCAGATCAGTCTCTACCTCAGTTACTGAGTTTGCAAATACTGCTAATATTTTTGGCATAATTTTTTTCTGAATCAATGCAAAGAATGGAATCTATCACAGAGCAGCAATGCACAGACTGCACCTGACTTAGAGGTCAGCATTTTTAGTGAAGTAGAACTAGAGCATAGGTACATTTTTTAACTTTCCCAGCCTGGTTTTACTAGCAGTCCCCAAATTAGTACCCAAACAACTGAACTAGAAACTCTAGTTCATTCTCAGTCAAGTCAGGGCAGTGTACATGAGAACACAGCGTTGTTATTCCCTGCCTCCCACTTTCCTGATCTGTACTAAAAATAGTCCAAGTAAAAATACAGCTTGAAAATGCTAGTGCACAAGTCTTAATCTATGTTTAGTAGACAGGCATAAAATAATATCTTTTCATTCCCACCTCAAACCTTTCCTTGGTCAAGACTTAATCAGTGGAAACAATACCCCTTTCTATTCTTAATTCTGAGCTTCATTGGTCTTTAAAGAAAAAAAAGCTGAGATGACCAATTGACTTAATTATTCAAGTAATCATAACCACCCTTTTGGCTGAAATTTGGGAACAGCAAGTACCCTGGAGGAAAACACCCATTTGTTGCAGCCTGGAACACTGCAGAACAGGATTAGTAGGATTTCCGTCAGCCAAATCATACCTGGGAAACTTGAGGGAGCCCACCACAGTCAGCCATCTGAAATGAGGATGAGAACAGTTAGAATATTGCCAGAGGAACTCATTTGTGCTCAGGATACACTAAAATGACCTTTTTAGCTATCTGGCAGGAAAGCATTTCCTTTTGTTGTACGAGTATCACACATGTAGATGAGCACACTAAAGCAAGTAGCCAAGCATTCCTGAGAGCTATGATTGCACCCCAGAAAACCTCCGAAGCGATTTGACCCTCAGGCAAAGCATCAGCTAGTGCTACAAATAAATGTTTTTGATAGGAAGAGATCAGTTTCTTAGAAACTAGCCTGATAGTCCTGGTTACATCTCCAGTTCTGAATTACAGTAATGCAATGCAGTATTGACCTTAATGACAGGGGAGAGAAAACAACTGCCTAAACCTCAGAGGTGAGGTAAAAGCACTTTGCTGAGATTGTGGAAGCATCAGCCTGACTTGCCAAGGGAAGCAGAGAAAGCCAAATTAGAAAGCTATCTTGAGTGCATGCAGTATTTTTGGAGCACTTCATTTTTCCTGCCACTCCACCCCTCGATGTCATCCCAACAAAAACAGTCCTGTTCCAAGGAACACCACAAGCTGAAAACAGCTGAGTTGTGAATTACAGGAAACCCCAAATCCTATCTAGGAATAGTTAGCAGCAAAACAGGCCTGCAGCAGGTTCTACCATCAGCCGTATCCTGGATGGGCGAAGGCTGGCCACTGACAAGTGTTAGAGACAGTGTCAGATTTTTCCTTAGGATAAATCTGCCTTGGCCATGTGGTAGGTCAGCGTTGGAACTCCCCAACATTAGGAGGAAAAATAATTTAAAATATAGTTGTCAATTGTCATTTCCTCTGGACAGTTCAACAAAGAGAGATCATTAGAATTTCCCAGTAGAAGCATGACCAAGCTTGTGTCACTGTTTGTATGCTGTTATACTCATCATACTTTATGCTATCATTAATGAACTAGAGATTGCATCCATGCTATGAATGCCAAATATCAGCCAAAGACTACATGATTCTTTACAGTTTTGTTGGCTCAATTTACCAACTTTTTGGAAAATACAGAAGTTATTTCCAAATATAAATTGTCCTGCACTGTGTCCACACAAAAGGCAGGATGTCAATACCGTGTGGGATAGATCAGTTTCCTACTCATCTCATAAAGTTGTTGAGGTGTTGAAGAAAATAGAATGGATTGTTTTGCATTTTCACTCCTCTGAAGGCTTTTTCAAACCTTTCCAACTCCCCTGCACTGAACTCGGACACCTACAGCAAGCTGCTCAGAGCCCCATCCAACCTGACATTGAATGTCTCCAGAGACGGGGCAAGCTACATCTCTCTTGGCAACCTGTTCCAGTGTCTCACCACCCTTCTTGTAAAAAAGTTTTTCCATATATCCAATCTAAATCTTCATTTTAGTTTGAAACCATTTCCTCTAGTCCTATCACAACAGACTCTGTTAAAGTGTCTGTCTTCATCTTTCTCATAGCCTCCCTTTTATTATCCCGAAGGCACTACCCTTCCACATCAGAACTCAAATTTCACTGTTACCTCTACTGAGTCACAGTAGTCTGGTTCTGCTCTTTCAATTAATCCAATATATTTTAAATAAGGAGAATGTTAAGTTTAAAAGAAACAGCTCTTATTACCTTCAGAAGTGTTGTTCTTGTTGGGTCCAGCTTTGAATTGCATTCAACCTATGTGAAAGAGGAGCAGGATAAGGCATGGTGACAAGATACAAAATATGAACTGCTTGCTGAAAACACTGATTTCTGGCTTAACGCAGACTAACTTGGGTATCTTAGGCTTCTGCATAAGGGCAATTTATATATGCTGTAATCTTTTTGTATACAGCTGAACAAGTGTCAATTCACACTTACAACTGTATTCTTTGCCATGCATAAACAAACCCATTAGCTAGGGCTTGTGGATTTTTTTTTCATGTGTGTCTGGCACTCTTGTGGCAACAAGGGTTGTTTATCTTGTAATCTGGGGTCATCTGGTAGTGTCCCAAGTGGTGAGCAGCCACGTGGCCACCAGCCAGCAGGCTGGGCATGCCTGTTAGGGCACAGCACTTGAAGTCACTCAGTCATCTGGGGCAAGCAATAATAGACAAATAGAAGCTCTTCGCTTCCATAGTGACCCAGGGCAGGACTCCAATGCCACAGAACAAGTTCAGATACCAGCAGCAGATTCCGCTCTAAAGGAAAATATTTGCAGTTCACTGGAACTGCTGTGGCAGTTGTTCTTAACGCAACAGCTATTAAATAATGATGCGCAGACAGAGGGCACAAACAGCCAGGAATAATGGCAGCTCTCCCGCGGTCTGAAAGAGGACTGCCATTTGGGCTGACTCGATGACTGGCGAGATTGCTGTGCTGCTGGGAGCTCTGCTGGGCTGGCTAAGCATCTCTAGTCACCTGCCTAGCAACACTGTGTTGATGAGGGCTCAGTATACACACCACAGCATCCACTGCTGGGGAGCTGTCACCAACCACCAGGAGCACAGGGCACCTGCAAGGAAGCATACAAAAGCTGTATTATTTCTGTGATGCAGCCCTCGGCTTCATTTTGTGCCCTGGAAAGGATGAGACAGGTGTATGAAAATTATGTGTTGTGCGTTCCTGGCACACATAAAGCCCCCCATATTACAGACTCACAGAATGGCCGAGGTTGGCAGGGACCTCTGGGTCCATCTGGCCCTACTCTGCTGAATCAGGGACACACAGAGCAGGGGGCCCAGAACCACATCCAGGCAGCTTTTGAAGATCTCCAAGGACAAGACCCCCAGCCTCTCTGGACATCCAGGGCCAGTACTCAGTCACCCACACAGCAGAAGTGCAGATACACAGACATACCCTGATGCCTTGCCAGAGATCCTGTCCTTTTTCTCACTTTGTGGCAATCAGCCCTTCCCATCACTTTTTTTTTTTTTTTTTTTTTAATTTAATAAGATTTGAACATGAGTACCAGCCTCAAAGTCTCACCCCTCTCCCCACTACTCCTCCAGCTCTAACTTTTGGACTGTAAGCCAATTCCAGCCAGTTTGGCAGATGAGCCAATGTTTCCCATATTAAAGGACTGGAAAACTATTTCATTTACAAGATGCAGCACAAGTAAAAAGCTATCAGCAGAAAATCTGGTAGATAACCATTCTCACGCCTGCTTCACTTTCCTGAAGATCTTTGTTGTTCTCATTGGTTTTGATTTTCCTTCTCTGGTTGGGTAGGCATGGCTATAGTGCATCCAGAGCCATAGTTCCCTTTAAGTAGGACAGACTTCCAGGCTAAGTACACCTACTTTTTTAGCACCTAATCTGTAAGCCCCAGTTTGCAGTATACAGTGTATGGCAGGCATTACTTGTCTATGCAGTTAATATGGCTCTGAAGTTTGAAACGGCGAAGTCTCCCTACTCAATGTCCCTGACTTCAGCAACAATTCAGCTCCCAGATGAAGCTACAGGATCCTGCAAAAACTCAGCTACAGCCCTGTGATGTCCATGCTGTGCACCCACAGATTTCATCTCTTGGCTCACACCACATACAAGTAAACTGATTGGAAATAAAATACTTACTGAAGGGTGACAACATTTAATCCAGGAACAGGGCGCTCAATCTCTAGGTCTCGACGACTAAAGAAAATGAAGAAGACAAATATTTTTGACATGCTGAAATTTAACAGATGCTTCCAAATTCTAGTTAACAGAAAGCACAGCCACAATATGTTAATCTGATACATGTAGAAAACTCCAAAACTGATGGTGAAAGACTTTTAAACTGAAGTATCAATGTCCACATGTACCATCTGTCTCCCCATAAATGCATGAGGACCTTCTCTCACAAGCAAACCACCTCAGATCCCTAAAGGTGCATATCAAGTAGAATTTCAAAAGGGGGGAAAACAAGTAACTCCACCACACAAATAACACTGGCTGAAAAAGAGCTGGACAGCCTCTTAAAACAGTTTCCAGTTAAAAATCAGGTAAATGCATTTACCTGTTGTAAGAGTTGACAAAGAGATGAAGGTTGGTTTGATTCATATCATTAATAATATGCTGACGGTAAGTATGGATCAGGTCATGGTTGCTGTGAATCTCTTCCTACAGTGGAAACAGAATTGTTCAGAACAGGGGCTGTTTTCTGAAAGGAACTGAAGACATGGCACAGCAGTCATGTATCAGGCTCATATCTATACCACAGGAGTGTACTCTTAGGGCAGGAACAACTTGCAGCACTCAGTGTTATCACCCAGAGTTAACATTAGCATCTGACTGTTGTTCCATGTTTTTCTATTTAAGAGTAGGCTTGCACTGAAGAACATCATTTGTACTAGTAAGCAGTTTTCTCAGAGATATATTACTGTATAAAAGCATACTAGTGCTCTATTCGTGCTTAAATATCAGCTAGCCAAACTGGTAGCTACATCTTCTGGAGTTGCCATGACAGCACTGTACTTGGTTGTTTGGCACTCAGCAAGCTTCACTGCAGTATCCATACTTCAAAGAGCTGGGAATACAAGTATTAATCCTATCCCACAAGGTTAAAATTAAACATTGCTACTTAAGTGAAAGATTATCCCCTCTTCCAGCTCCAGGAGGTAAATACAGATGACTGAAAACACTAGAATAATGTTTCTAATGTTCTTACCTTTCCAAAGAGATGTGAAATGACCAAGTCTGGTAAAGCATTTGTCCAACCTGAAATCTGAACAGCAAGATTATCTAAGTATGTGATATTAAAACTATCTTTTGAAACTTTTTAATTACCCTTACATAGAAGAATGGATGTTTCTCTGCTGCTCTTATGTATAATAGCCTGGACTGATGTTCTTCCCCCAGATTCCTACTATAACATCATTAGGCTTCGATTATGTTTGAGTTGATCTCATAGGATGTTTTTACTAATGCAAATATGCAAGGAAGCACACTACTAGTGGCATAAATATATACGGAATTACACCCTGAAAATCAGCCAGATGCATGCAATTTAACCTCATTGTCCAATACCACCCCTAACACAATGGCACAATGACAGTACTTTGGAGCTGGAACCTAAGGACCATAGAGGTCACATTCCAGAATACATGCTCTTAATTTGGAAAGACAGAAGGATACAACAGACAGCTGAGGTCGACAGCACCTAGGAGAGGTGGACAGCAGAGACACAGATGTGAAAGAATTTAATTATGGAGAAATATTGCATGAGATAACCCAAAAGGGTCAACTGCTATGTCTCATTGTAGATGAGTTAATAAATACATATCCAGATCACTTCATGTCTCCTGAGACATCTATGTGGGTTGTCTGTATGTATGCTTAAAAGACAAAACATTAATTTTTGTACTTTTGTGTGTTCATAGTAACTGTCGATCATTAAAACATGACCCTAAATGATACGAAGTATCAGCTTTTTCAGTCTCTTCTGAAAAATGTTTTAGGAAGTTAAAACTGAGTGATGCATAATGTAACATTTATACCTATTAGCTCCTTGAGGCTGTTTGAAACCAGCTCTCACCACCTTTTTCCCACGTTGTAATCTTATAGCTACGAAAGAATGATGTTTGCAGGGGATTCTTTATTTGTGAACAAGTTCACTTAGAAGTCTAATTGTACAGACAGTCTGTCCAGCATTACTGTAGCTAATGCTCTTTTCTGAGTCTTTTCAGTATCCAAGACTCAGCTAGATGGCTGAAACCAGGAATATGCTTTTTTGAACATTTTTTTCTGTGCTCCAATTAATATTTTGGACCATGCTTGTAAACAAAGCCATAGGCAAGAAAAGCAACGCTAAGCTTGAAGTTTAATTGGAAGAATGCTGTTTCCAAACTTATCTCATGTTCAGGTTAAAATAGCTTTTTCACTGGGTCATTACCAGATCTCAAGAATTGTTTGTACCCAACAGCTCCATTATACCATGGGTAAGCAGCACTTATTTTTTATCACTAGTCCTACAGAAGGAATGTTTGTAAATGAAAAAAATAAACCCAAAATAAATTTGTCTAAGATATTTTGTCTTTGCAGCCCTGTCTCAACACACAAGCTTGTCCAGGTCCTCATGCCTGACTGCCTCACAACATGATTTATTTTTCTAACTTAAAAAATGTTTACCTTTGTTGCTGCCCAGTCCATCCAACCTTCAGCACAAGGGTTTACATTAATGAGAACCAATCCCTCCACCATGTCTGGGTGGTTTAACTGCAAAAGAAAAGGTTTGAGTTAAGATTCATCGTGTGTCCTTTGCAAGCTGACAGTCAGCATAAAATTTAAATTAGCGAATTATCTCCTGGGGAGGAAGGCAGTAGGTGTAATTTTGTCTTGCACAAAACAAGCACATGTATGGAAAAAAATTTCATTAAAGCAATTCAACTGAGCAGCTGGAGAACATTAAGATTTAACATCTTCCCCACCCTCAGTTTAAATAGAGAACTCCCATTAAAAAAACCTTCTGCAAATCAACTGCGTAGAGCCCAGGCTTTAGAATGGAAAATCTAGGTCTTCTGGTTGAACTATCCTGCAGACTGTGGTATTCCACCTAAAAGCCTGGCTGCTTGCTTAAATGCACACAGCAAAGCAGGAATACTCTGCTCACCCTATGGGGGCAGCAACACCTTGAGGAAATTGGGTTCAAGCCTTTAAGAAAGCTCCATGAAACTTACAGCAAATCTGGTCAGGACGTAGGCACCAGCTCCGGTTCCCATTCCAATAATGCTCTTCAGCCTGCACAGCAGTTATGTGCCATGAGATGGAGGAGACAAATCAGTAAGAGAACACCAAAAATAAACAAAACCCTATCAGCAGCCTTCCTATCAAGCTAGATGTTAGGGAAAATTTCTTGGAAAGAGTGGTCAAGCATTGGAATAGTCTGCCCAGAGAGGTGGTGGAGGCACTGTAGATAGAGTAGATAGGGTAGATGTGGCACATGGGTTAGTGGCCATGGTGGGATGTGTTGATGGTTGGACTAGATGATCTGAGTTATCATTTCCATTCTTAATGATTCAATGATTCTTCTTGCAAACACCAGTGAAAGGGCAGATCACACCTTGAGCAAACCACAGATCTCAGCAATACCTCCAGTACAGAGCTGGGCACAGCAGCTAGTTGGTTTTAGGAGATTAGCAGACGCTGGTCCTCACACACTGCAGCCCAGCAGCAATCCTCACTTATCCTTAAGTAAATACATGGAGCAACAACAGCATTGTTCTGACTCTGGAAGGAAATGGCTCCTCTGCCAGAAAAACTTCTAAGATAGAGTCCTGTGGTCTGCAGTCAAAACACAACAACCCCACCTCAGTCTCCCCTGCCCTCTGCTATCAAACTGTGACGCCAAGTCCTCTCTAGCAGGGAGCTGGCAGGGAAACCTCTCCTGCTATCCAGTTGCTGGAGTGAGTGAGATTAAACTTCAGAACTAAGCAGGGCAGAGACAAATCAAATATTTGCATTTGCTCAAATTGGTTCTAAAGCATCCTCTTCAAAGTCTTAGAAAATACATGGAAGGGAGACTACACAAAACCTGTCAGAAAAACAGGTTATGCAATGCTTTTAGGAAAATATCTTGAGAAATATTTCATTCTCATTACAGTATTAAATCAAGCTTTTGTAAATCAACTCCAGTTTAATTGGTTTTCAAGGTATTGACATTATGTTAGCATGTGG